ATTTCGCGTTCGGTCGTTTTAATGATATAAATCTGCAGTGGAATATGTCAGGAAAAAACTAGTGTTCTATTATGACCGTCAGTTAACACTGTACTCAGGCTGTTACAACAAAAACTTAACCGACACTCACCAGGGATGCTGCTTTGTTTGAGAATTTTTTACTTCGCTGGAATCTGTTTACAGATTTTTGCTAACGATCCTCTTTTCACCTCTAGAATTCGTTGACATGTTATCTCCGTTTAACGTGCGACTAGCCCTTGTTTTTTTTTTTTTTCGATTATTCAGTGGTGCATAGTTTTTTCCCTAAATATCCATTGTGAATCAAGAAGAAATTTGTTGGTACAGTTGTAAAATGGATATTTGTGGGTTTGACAGATAGTTGCAGCACTAAAACTAAGTGTTATGATTATCAAAAGTTTTTAGAAACGCAATTCAAAACTGTGATTCGTTGTGTAAAATGTACAAAATGAATTTCTGGTGTGCCAGTTGTCGAGATCAGTTGTTGCGATAGTTGACTACTATGACCTCAGCGTTGAACAGTGATTGGTAAACTGTATCGGTGATCAGGAGTGATCTGCACCGAAACGGGTAAATAAGAAAGACTGAGGAAGTTTAATCTTAGAGCTGTAGAAGGTTCAAATGGAAGGAGTAACAGTTTTCCAAAAAAAAAAAAAAGGAAAGGATATTTGTGGAGGGCTTGCGGTAGTCCAAATTAGCTGTAGTTATTAGCGGCTTTAAAAGACAACAAGGATAGCGCGAGTTTGAAAGCACTCGTAGACGGAATAAACAAAAAACTTTCCAGCGTTTGTGTTTCATCTTGTGAAATTGTCGAATGTAATGTGTATTTCAGGGTGAAGCATACTTTGCCAGACGATGTCCAATGCATGTGACTTATTTTGAAGAAGACGATGATTATTAACTGGGAAGTTCATTTAGATGTCCCTTAACTCTTGTAACTCTTTTCCCTTCATATCACCTTGTTTTCTGTAAACGGTTTTTTTTCATGTATGGTATATTCAGAACTGCAGTCAAAACAAGCCTCCGTAAATTTAGCGGCTTCCGCTTGAAAATGGCATGGAAGGCCGTTTTCAAGTGATCTGGGTTTTATGGCAGGTTGGAAGGAGGCATATGTACCCTCGGTAGCATAGAGTAGATATATTGTTCACAGTAACGAATATTTCTTCACTTTCCATTTTGTATTGTTCTCTTATTGTCATATACTGTCTGATGGATACTGTACTGTTGTGAAGGAGTCTTTAATGGTTATTTATTACAAAATAAAAGAACGGCTACGTCGAGGGACAAAAGAAAAAATCAACAAGGAACTCAAAAGCATTACTCGAAGTGCAGAATCTACTATTCATAAATGGGTAACAACAGTAATTGAACAAACGTCGAGTTATATGAACTGAAGGTTGATGTAGTGTTTAAAACGTTCAGTAGAAGACTTCGACAAGGTGTAATGATATATGACCAACACAATAAAAAAAAAGAAAAAAAAAGAAAAAAAAGGTGGGTAATTCACTGGTGCAGCAGGTTAGATGAGGAAGAACGACGACGATTACAAAAATGAGAGTATGGAAAATGAAATCAAAGACAAGATTTCCACGGTCAACAAGGGCCCTTCAGTTAAAACAACGGTTCTTGCCCAGAATTTCTAATTCCTTCTCAAATATAGCATCCGATATTTTACGCTCCAGTCTAACTGCGTCTTCTCGCGACTCTCCGTAAACCATTCGAAGTTTGGTCTCAACCATGCGTCCTGCAATGAAGCAAGGTACAGGAATCTGCAAAGCATAGGCTATCCACTTAGATACCCAACTACGAGTGGGCATAAAAGATGAGTTCACGGATGTATATTCGAACTTCTGGTGTCAAACCAATAAAACTGCTACGACAATTTAGGCCTATGATTATCTTAATAAAAGCTTCTCGCGAAATGCAGCGCTTTGGATTCCCGTACACTCCACTATCTACTATCCTTGAAACCATGTTAGTAACGTTAAAAAAAACTGACGCCGAATAGTTTTTCAAGCGTAATTTTACTGAGAAATAAACGTCTCAACCATAAAACCAAGTGGCAATTCAATCTCAAAGCGACGACGAAAAATCTTCTCAAGCTTTCGATTCCAAACTACCCGATGAACTGAGCTAACTTCTTATAATTTCAATACCTCATACTCACTTCAGTTACAGAATATCTAATTTCTGAACTTCAGGGATTCTTTATTCAGCTTATAACAGTAAGCAAGCTGGTATCCTCAAAAACTGATGCATGTTTTCTGAATTCACAAGTATATTTCAAATGAAGCCTAATAATAGTTTATACTAGAACACCACTAACCAAAGAATGTGAATCTGTCTTCAGTAGTTGGCTTGGTCAGAGTGCCACGCGACGCCATCAGCTGATACTGATCCATTGAACGGAATGCATCAGCATCGAAGTTCTGATCCCCACTAGCCGGACGTTTTCGTGACATTGAGTAGAACTTCTCCTCACTTTGAGACTCAGATGTTCTGTCGCCTTCAGCAAGCTTGATACCTTCATCCAACACAGTTCCATCAGTTGGTTCCACTTCTCGGCACCCTTCAGAATCACTTTTCGTTGCTTCCATCCCGTTTTCCAACTTGTATCTGGCCAATGAAGTGCCATTGTCATTATTCCCATCATCGTGAAGCTTCATGCCACACGATGGCAAGAATACCATCGAAGTTCTGCAAACAAATAACACTTCGAATGATAACAAATATACTTCTACCGCGCTCACAGTATTCCGTCTTTTAAATGAGCAGTTCCGCAAAAAATGTATCAAAAAATAAACAGAACATACTCCATATAGTTGTAGTTCCCTTTGCGTAGTTCAGCAAAGTTCAAGAAGTTCAACAAAGTGGAAAAACGCCACTGGAATTTCCCGGTTCTTTTCGCGCGACGATACTGGTCTCTTAGCATATTCCATTGGCGGTGTACCTCATTTTCTGCAAACGGAACCGCTAACTGAAGTCATTACTCAATCGACATATCAGCCGTTGTTAACCAGGTAACCAAAAATTTTACCTGATACAGTGCTGCCAAAAGCAGAGCTCAGTTTTGCCGCCACTTCGGCAATTGCCTGCTTCTTAACACGAAGGTTTCGGTAACTCACATCACTTGGATTCCAAAGACATTCTCGCGTACGAAACTCAGAAATCAACCTTTCTTTCATGTCATCACACCATGGCAAATGTTCAGTATGATCTTCTGATCTGAGAATCGAAACAACATCAAGATTACCAGGAAAAAAAAAAA